TGACACACAACTTATGAAACTATCTACAAAAACATGAATATGGAGGAGGTTGCAAATGTGGTTTATGGATCACAGATTAATATGAATTTAGGCCCCATTCATGCAGACTCTAAGATATACTGAACAGTTGAGGTAGGCAATATGTTAAGGCTCTTTGAACAATTTAGTATGATACATTCCGATGGTTATGTCTTTGAGTAGCATCCCGGCTTGGATTTTTGAGAGTATTTTAGAGTTGGGCCCCGTTCATGCAGACTCCAACTGATAATCACAATAAACACTGCAAACAACAAACCAATAATTTAATATATATTATATAGATGTATAATTATATTTATAGATATTTACAAATATGTACACACAAGTATAGACAAACACAGATAATAAACAGTTGGGCCCCGTTCATGTAGACTCCAACTAATAATCAGAAAGTTACTCAGGCCCCTTTCATGCGGGCTCCAAGCAACATATACAATGTTTTCCAAAGAGAGTAAGGCTTGCCACTAGCCATGTTCCATGTTCCTTGTTCTAGGTCCGTAAATTACAAAAAAGGTATTAATTGGCCATGACACGTAAAACACAAACCAATAACTTAATATATATGATATAGATATATACATATATTTACAAATATGCATACACCATTTTTGATAAACGCAGATAATAAACGTACACCTGCAAAACACAGAAATGGCCAACAACCTTTTTTTTAGTCTCCTTAGAAATTGATTAATTTGGTCAGTTTTCTACGGACTACTTTGCCTTCTTTAATCGTATCCGTCTGCCGCCTTGCTATATGATTTAATCTGACTTTGCAGTACAAGGCAGAAGCCATCTTTACCAGAACATGGACATGGTTAGCTTCAACACACATGTCAAACATGTGGTTGTGCAGGAAGAGATTTTTCTCAGAACACTCAGAAAGCACCTGGTGGACAATTGCCGCTGTTGTTCCTCTTCCCTGTGGAGCCTTTCCCTCATTGGCATTTAGAAGCCGTTGAAAACATCTTTCGGTAACTTGACACACTGAAGTGATGCCTGGTGATGGTTTCTGTAGGCCACCTCTGTTCTTCAAAGTTACAAATGGATGCACAGAGTCAGCTGATGTCAGTGCATGTGAGCAAGGCATGCAGGTGACCTTCTGTTCTATCTTTTTGACAATGAAGCCTGCGATGTATGAGATCGCTGCTTCTTTGTACTCAGATAGATGGTTAACATCAGGAAGGTTTGCAAGGGTGTCATCCTCAGTCACAATCTCTTCCACCGGCTCAATACCCAACCTGCGTGCCATGTTGATATTTGCCGGTGTTGAGTCAAGGATGGTTGTGTTGTCACGAAGAAGACAGTTACCTGTGCCTTTTTTCACCTGGTGCCTTACAAGGAGACGCTTGTATGTCCCTCGGAACTGCCTGACATTGGGGTTGTTGTTGTAACCTCCACGCGCTCTGATTGCAGAGAAAAACAGCTCCAAATGATCCTGACTTAGCTTGTAGGTCAGAAGGTATCGACAGGGGGCAACTGGCTGCTCTACCAGGTCTTCGTAGATGCCAATAACACTTCTCCCACAAGCAATGAAACCACAGATGGGTGTTTTCTTCTGTGTGGCATGTAAAGGAACAAGTTTGTTGTCCTTTCCTTTCATTTTAAGCCCACGGAGAAGGGACTCAGCTTCTAATAGAATACCTATGGCACGGTGTTTAGTTGCTGGCTTGATGGGTGCTTTGTGTCCTCTTCCGAGTGGGTTTCGGCTGTTAAGGACGTCAAAGGCTGCATCAATTGTGCGCAGGAACTGAGCTGTGGCTGCACTTCCAGTAAACTGAGGATACTTAAGCTCCTTTTCTGAATATTCAAGGGCATCTGCCACACTGCTGCTAAATAGTTGGGCTGCAAGATTGACCTTCATTTTCTGATTTCTCCACTGGATGTGGGCCATTTTTAGTTTGTTGCCAAGACGCAAGCCCTCCTTCTCCTGCAGCTTGTGGAGCTCCTCGATGTACTTCCACATTATCTGCTGGCCATCTTCTCTTACCAGAACCCCAACTGTTGAGAAGACATTTCTAAGAAGCTTGAGCATATGACATGGATCCAGGATCACATAGATCTTTTGTGTGTGATCCTCAGGATGGAGAAAAAATGATCTCAGGGTCAAAAATGTCCAATTTGGCACCAAGTTCCCTTATCATGGCAAAGTTTTGGGAGGGTCCATCGCATGTCAAAGAGATAACCCTTACTCCAATTGCATGAAGCCTAACAAGGCTCTCTCGGATGAGGTTTGCTCTCTCGGTTCCAGTCATGCTGTTTATGAGGAAGTAAGCAATGGGGATCTTCCAAGACTCGTTGATTGCAACAACCATAAGGACCAATGCTTGGGTTGCAATCACATTTTCAATTTCTCCAGAGCCAATGTCAACATACCCATGAATTTGGTCCCCCCCAAACTCAGTTTGCTTATGGATGTACATTTCATCCATCATTAATGAGCAAACTGTGTCTTTCCCTGCATCTTTCCTTTCAGCAACATGACTTTTTAAAGCTGTGAATGCAGCAACAGTAAATCCAGGATCTGCCGAAATGCTACTGTACCATTTTCGAATGGTCTGAGGATGAGGCAAAGACAAGTGAAACTTCTCTCTGACATAGTCATAGGCCTTTGGAGAGTAGCAGTGCAATGTGGTGGCAAATTGCTTCATGTTTTCAGAAAACACTGACTTCTTCTTTTTTTGTATTCTCTCAAAGACATCTCGGGGAACCTCATCAAGACCATCAAGAAGAGAGGCACAGTCAGTTGAAATAAGGAGTTTCTTCTGAAGTACTTTTATTACACCTGCCAAGGAAGAAACTCGTGCCGTCAGTCTCCTTGTCTGCTGGGCCTTCAACCTCAGTTTTTTGCGAGCTGCGCATAGCTTAACCTCAACGTGGGAATGTTTCCTTTTCAGTGTTTTTGGAGACTCAGAAATAATGTAGCAGTGATCACTCAGAGAGCTGCTAGCTAGCTGTGTTGTAATGGTGTAAGAGTGAACAGAGGCGGAGTCTGCCTGCTTTCCAATTTGTTTTGTTTGTTGGCTGCTGCTACCCAAACCAACATCCTCACAAGCATTGACTGTTGGAATGTCATTATGCTCGACATATTGAACAACAAAGGCTTCTTCAGGTGTGTCTTGTATCATAATGATATTGCTCTGATCAGCAGCAAGACTGTTTTCACCACTACCATGGTCTACATCTGCAACCTCCTCCTCATTGCTGTTAACAGTCCAACTAGGAGTGTCACTTACCTCGTCATTGCTACTCACCCTGCTTTTCCGTATAGACTGTTGTTCTTTGCCATTGGTGAAATAGAAAATGGTGGGCACTGCAGTGTTTTTCAGGCATCTCCTTCCCTAATAAAAATAATAAACAAAAACACATAAAATAACTGTTTGAGGTCTGTAGATATTCAACTTTCTTTTGAATAATGTTGTTTTAAATGTAAGAGTGCATTATAAAAGACAATAGAGGGTCAACAACAATTGACACCTACAAATTGAACCATAAAAGTTATTTAATAAAAAAAAAGGATCTGTACCCATGAGTCCGTGCTAAAGTGATGACTCTCAAAGTGTTCACTGCACAGGCGAGAACAAACTTTGGGGGTCCATTTATTTCTCCGGATGTTCAGCACCCACTGGTCAAGCCTGTCTGGATCATCTAAAGGAAACCTTTATACAAAAATACATGAGAAGTTATATGTTAGGTGTGTAGGGTTACAGACTGCTTAACAAGCAAAACATAGAACTTAAATTAGTGATGCAATGCTGAAATGTAAAAATGTGACAGTCAAAAAGAGTTTTCCCCCTTAGTTTGGTGTTCGCGGTCAAATTTGACCGGTCCTGTTTTAACTGCGATTACATTAACACAAAAACCATCACCACATTTCATTTAACACTCTTTCAAACTGTGGGGGGATGGGCACATAACAGCGGGAAATGTATGAAATTGTTCTGTGTGTGTGTTTGTGTGTAGCAGGTGTGATTCACATGGGGGGATGGGCACATAATGGGGGGGGGGGGGGGGGGGAACCTTTATATGCTTTATATACAGTCTATGGGGGAAACACATCTAGTGTGTGTGGGTTTTTTTGTGTGTGTGTTTTATCTGATCTGGATGGTTAGTAATTCCTTTTCTTTATGGCGGTGACCGGGAACACCGTGGGTGTTACAACGTTGACTAAATCATCCATAATTCAATGAAAGTGGTGATCAGTATATGTTAAAATGTGTACTGTGAAGTGTGAAGGATATCATAAAGCCTTAATGCAATCGAATGTAAAACATGATTGATGAAAGTAGTAAATCGGTCAGATTTGACCCGAAGACAACAGGAGGGTTAATGCCATATTCACTTAGTAACGCATGAACAACTTTTACAAATATTTCTATATAGTCTGTGTTGGTAAATGTCATCTAGGTTGCACATTTCCTGCTGAAATACATGCATACCAAGTCACTGCGTGGCACTTTGGTTTTGATAAAACAGTGTAGTTCCACTATATAAACGTTACATTCATAATCAAACGAGACAATCTGCAAGATAATTAGCTATTTGGTATTATTCTTAAAGAGCTTACGAAATGCTTTTAGCACCTGTTAGTGGGCTTAGTATATGATAGAGGTTGCATTTGTATTGTGAAATGTGCCATATGATTTTTTTATTATTGATCTATTTTTAATAAATCACGATTATAACAGCATACAAAAGTTGTCAGTTAGTAACAATCGTTCGTTGCGCTGGAAACATCAACTTCGGCCATTTCCGACGGTGACGTCATGAGTAGAACACAGCTGAGCTCAGTCCCGTTTGAATGCATTGAAGGGCCAAATATTATGACAAAGGATGCACAGCAATATATGTTGTATGGGGATGTGGGGCCGTCTCAACATCTGGTTATGGGATGTTTTTGTGGCCAAAAAATTATCAAATGTTGCGTATGTGGACAAAACAAGTGCGTCGTATGAGGCGGACTTTTACTGGACCAGGTAACACGGGGTCGATGAAACCGACGATGTGTGGGCAGCACATCGAGAGATCGTGTTTCGAACAATCAACAATGCCCGCTAAGGAGAGAGAGTAAAAGCTTTCTCGAAGGTTCGTTTTGCTTTCTTACAACGTTACGTTAACTTAACCTTACGTTTGCTATGAAGCTATGTTACTTCCCTTAAGAGCTAGCTGTCTTAGCTAACAACAGTTAGCAGCTAACGTTTTCTGCAGTTTGTGTTTCCACTGAAAAACGTGATGTAGTTATTTAAGGGTAAGTTAACTAAACGTTATCTTGCAAGTAGAGAGAGTTAAGTTGTGTTTAAAATCGTCAATGTAAAAGGTTTTGTGTTGAGCATGAAGTTAGCTTTACTGTAGCTCACCAAAGGTTAGCATGTTAAGATGCACTTTATGTGGCAGCTCGCTTAATACAAAGAGGGTTTTTGTGCTTCATTGTAACCTTTTCTTACAAATGTGTGTTAATCTACCTGAAATTGTAGGGACAGTTTTTTTCTACTCAACTATACAGACCATTATTGAGGAGATGCAAAACATACTGTAAATGAGTTGGGTCCGACATATACTTTGAGTAATGTTAGTTTGCTGCTAAAAAAAATGAAACATTATCAGATGAGGACATCACCAAAGTGTGTGAGTCTGTCAGGGGATTTGATCTGTTCTCTGCATGTCGTACAGGGCATATGTACACACTGCTCTGGTATGAATTAAAAATATAATTGTAAAATGTAAGTCTCTTGCTCTTGTCATCATTCAGGCTTTGCATTTGAACTCCTATGACTGGTTACGGACTTGAAGGGAACGTCTTCCTGACATCCAGGAAAATGGTGAGATTCTAATCCATTTCAATGCCAACAGCAAGTCATTGTTTTTTACTTTTTTAATATGATTTTTTGGGGAATTTCTGTTTTATTGGATAGTAGAAATCTACTGGAACCTAACACCAGAGAGAGGGAGGAGATGATATGCAGCAAAAGGCCCAGCCGGATGGTTGCTGCTCCGTGTGGAACGTGTTCTATCCGGTAAAGCACTTTGGTACCCAGTTATTTATGGTATTGAGTTTGAATTTAGCCTTTGGAAGGTAATTTCCAACAGTGCATTGTAAAGATTGAAAAAACATTTATTTGTCTCTTAACATTCCTGTAATAATTTGTTTTTTTATTGTTGATATTGTTTTGTTCTTGATTTTTGATGTGAGAATCACTTTGCAATTGTGTAAGTGCTATATTACTATTACATTGCATTTAGCTGACGCTTTTGTCCAAAGCGACTTACAATAAGTACATTCGACCAGGAAGACACAACCTTGAAGAAAACAGAATCATATAAGTATATCAGGTTTCATAGAGCCAAACATTTCAAGTGCTACTCAACTGGCTTTAGGTAATCCAGTCCTTTATTGGTATAAAAGTGCTTCGTTAATCGTTCTAACGCTCGAAGTGGAGTCGAAAGAGATGAGTTTTCAGTTTGCGCCGGAAGATGTGCAAGCTATCTGCCGTCCTGATGTCAATGGGGAGCTCATTCCACCATCTTGGAGCCAGGATAGCAAACCCACGTGTTTTCGCCGATGGGAACTTGGGTCCCCCTCGCAGCGAGGGCGCAACGAGTCGTTTGGCTGATGCAGAGCGTAGTGCACGCGCTGGGGTGTACGGTTTAACCATGTCCTGGATGTAGGAAGGGCCAGATCCATTCGCAGCACGGTAAGCAAGTACCAGTGTCTTGAAGTGGATTCTAGCAGTTACCGGAAGCCAGTGAAGGGAGCGGAGGAGCGGAGTGGTGTGGGAGAATTTAGGAAGGTTGAAAACCAGACGAGCCGCTGCATTCTGGATGAGCTGCAGAGGTCGGATGGCACATGCAGGTAGACCAGCCAGGAGGGAGTTGCAGTAGTCTAGGCGTGAGATGACGAGAGCCTGGACCAGAACCTGAGTCGCTTTCTGAGTCAGCTGGGGACGTATCTTCCTGATGTTGTAAAGCGTGTATCTGCAGCAGCGGGTTGTAGCAGCGATGTTTGCAGTGAAGGACAGGTTGTTATCTAGGGTCACACCCAGATTCCTTGCAGTCTGAGTCGGGGAAACAACTGAGGTGCCGATGTTGATTGTCAGGTCAAGAGTTGGACAATCTTTTCCCGGGAGGAAGAGCAGCTCAGTCTTGTCAAGGTTGAGCTTGAGGTGGTGAGCAGACATCCACTGAGAGATGTCAGCTAGACAAGCAGAGATGCGTGCGACGACCTGGGTCTCTGAGCGGGGAAAGGACAGAATTAATTGGGTGTCGTCAGCGTAGCAGTGGTAAGAAAAACCATGCGGGCTAATGACTGATCCGAGCGAGTTTGTGTACAAGGAGAAGAGGAGGGGACCAAGAACAGAGCCCTGAGGGACCCCCGTAGTTAATTGACAAGGGTCGGACTCAGACCCTCTCCAAGTCACCCTGTAGGTACGGTCTTTCAGGTATGAGGTGAGGAGGGAAAGTGCAGAGCCAGAAACTCCAAGTTTTTGGAGAGTGCGAAGGAGGATCTGATGATTCACCGTGTCGAATGCAGCAGACAGGTCCAACAGGATGATGACAGAGGAGAGGGATGCAGTTTTGGCAGTGTGCAGTTCCTCCGTGACAGCAATGAGAGCAGTTTCTGTGGAGTGACCTGCCTTGAAACCAGACTGGTGCGGATCCAGAAGTTGGTTCTGATTGAGATAACAGGAGAGTTGTTTAAAGACAGCGCGTTCAAGTGATTTAGACAGGAACGTATCTAAATCACATAAATAGTTATACTAATATTATTGTTGTTACCATCATTACAGGCAGAAAATATGAAAACACCTGTTCCAGTTTCCTGTACATGGAACCATGCCTGTCCTCTCTGTTCCACATGTCTTCAGTCAGTCCTGGGGCCTGTACTACAAAGCAGGATTTTCGCTTAGCCGGCTAACTTCAGGGAAAACTCCGGCTTTCCGGGCTTACGAAGCTGGTTCTCTTTTTAGCGGGCTAGATCTCCATGGTAACTGATGCTGAGCGGCTAGCCTGCTCCGGAGCAGGTTAGGTTTCAGGATAAGAGCTCAACTCAGTGAAAGCACCGCCTGCTGACCAATCAGAGCTCCGTGTGCGGAGTTTAAAGCGATCAAGTCATATTACAGGAGAAAGGAAATACAGAAAAGCTGCCGTCGCAGGAAAGACGGCCGGCAAAAATCACAGACTGTGTGAACGTGAACATTAATAGAATATCACCTCCATCTTCAGAGCAATCTGACTATTATAACATTAGCGTTAAGAAAGCTTACTTAAATATCTGCCACAACATAAGTAACCGGATCAGAGTAACATTAAGTACAGTCCGCGGCATATCACTTCATAATGTATCATATATTTCCTTATCTGAGTCAGCTGAGCCGTATAAGGCCGTGCAACACTCACAGTGTCACATACTGTATACAGAAGTATTATTTTAAGCAACACATTAAGTTGACGAAACACTCGAGTCAAATGTAATTAAAGTCAGATCCACTCGTGTCTTGGACGGGGCAGTGATATCATAAACCTGTTAATGTACGCATTCAAACACGTTTTCTTTTACCAGCTGTATTCACCTTGCAGGTGCAGCTGTGGCTTTGATCCTGGATAAAGTTTTTAAGTCATGGCTGTTTAAAGTTTAACGTCTTCATATTTGTCTAATATTATAGTTGACTTTTCATTCAGGAAGTATGACGCTGCGCTGTCAGTACGCTTCTCCATGTTTGTGATTGGTCGAATGCTCCAAATACCACCCCTTTCATGTGAACGCGCACCTAACTAGATAGGACACGGCTGGCTTGAGCGATCCACTTGATAACCTGGGTCGTAGGACCGTTTAGCGAGAGCGCGTATGTTTTGGATTAGGCCAACCGGCTAACTCAAACATATCCAGGTTAGGTTGAACCAGCTTCGTAGTACAGGCCTCTGGACCCTATGACTCGGACACTAGTTCTACCAAGGCTTATTAGAGGTAAGAGTGGTAGGAGAGGAGTGGAGTTATCTTTGTATTTAGGCTGCAAGTCGACAAAGGTGATCAGATGCTAATAATGATCCGATTAATTTGATATGGATTGTCTGCCAATACCGAATCCTGATCCGATTATTCTATTTCCCAGATAATACAGCTGCCTGTGTACACTAGCTCTTATTTGTTTTTGCCATTGTAATTCACCATAAGCAATGGTTGACTGTGACGTCTATGCCAACCAACTGTAATTTGTAATGTATTATACTTTAACGGGTCTGGCAACCACAGCAGCCCAAATGTTAACGTAAATGTCAAGTTTTCATTTTACAGTGTACTTATATCTGTACATTTATTTTCAGTTTGCGTGAAGAAGTGGCTTCAACAGACAGAAGTGCAGGCCAGATTGGGAAAGGCTGGACGCTACACAACGGGAAACATTATGGACATGAACAAGGAAAAACCAAAAACACTTTCTTTGTTGCCTTTTTCTTATCATATATAGTGTTACGGTTTTTGTTACCATTTAAATATTGAATTCTATGTATTACTTTTATTTTTAAATCAAATACACCGGTTTTAGATAGTATATTTATTTTTGATGTGTAGGTTGATTTGCAGGTTGGTTGTTATTTGTATAATTATTGTATTGTTACTGTGTATTTTATTATAACTAGCTATTTATTAAATTAAAATACTGTTACGAACACTATACAATGTCTTTATTTTTGGTAGATACCAGAATACATGACACAATGAATCTTTGTAATATATTTATGTTCTCTTGTTTAAATAATCATACCAGTATTTAATGTGTGCTGGTCACCTGGAATCCTGGTAACCTCCCAGCAGGGTATATTTAATACTATTATTAAACATAAGCTGGTGATAGATGGATAAACCAGCCATCCTGGCCAGCTAAAGTGTCCAAAACCCCTCTAAACCAGCCAACCATTCCAGCCTAATATCTACTGGCTGGTCAATTTACAACAGCCTGCTACATTTATCTAAGCTGGTTTTTTCATTATTTTCATTATTATTTATTTACTATTTTTTGAGAATCTATGAATTATGGTCAAATGTATACCAGTCTCTGTTCTGTTGCCTGGGCCAAGTTTGCCTGCTACATTACGATGTATTATTATTGATTTACTATTTATTGAGAATCTATGAATTAAAGTCAAACGTATACCAGTCTGTGTTCTGTTGCCGCATCGGATCTCCGCCAAATCCAGGATCATCGTCCCCATGTTCGCTCCCGTCTGTATCTCTACCGCTACTTGAATACTGTGGCTCAAACTGGTATGGTTCCACCACGTTAGACTCACCCGCATGATCTGATTCCACCACACCGGCATCCTCTTCAATAAAATCCTCCTTCTTGAAAGTGCACCGAGTCTATTGACGACTCACTGTCACTCGATTCTGTCTCCAGAGTCCGACATCAGCCATATAGGTAGTGTATTATTCAACAAGTGTTCTACTCGTGACGTGCGTGACGTCACTAACCGGCGAAAGCTGTTTTGTTCGGAGCGGTCGTGTAACATCGGAAGCGAGCATGGAAAGTTGTAATAAACCACGATTTATAAATACAGCGGGCATATTGTCATGAATGACATGATTTCCCATTAATAATAGTATATCTATTATCGTAATAAGAACAGTATTGTCCTTCATTTCGTAAGCTCTTTAATGCTTGTCATTCACACGTTAATAAAATAAAATAAGTACCGATACATAGCAGAATAATTGTGGCGGGGTTCAGCTTAATAAGCCTTGCTCAACATTATTTATTTAGCTAATACTACAGCGGGCTGCAGGCGAAACAAGTCCGCGTTACGATCATAGACTGTATATATAAATGGACGTAGGGTCCGTGACGTCACCCATAGGATTCTGCAGAGTTGCCGTGAAGCCCTTAGTAGGCGGAGTCGGCCACTAACGGCTCGACAGTGACGCCAGAGTTCAACTCCCGCCTTCTCCAGCCTGCTCCAAATAAGGGCAAAGAGGCGGAGCCGAGGCGGG